GGGGAGGGTCAGTATTTCGACCTCGATATAAACCGAAATATTATATATTTCGGATAAATATACCCGAATGAATGTATATATTTATACCAACAAACGTATGTTTCTACGCTTGCGTCACTTCAGAGGACCACCCTATCGTATTCCTCTTTCATCCCTCTCTCTCTCTCTCTGTCTCTGTCTCTGTCTGTCTCTCTCTCTCTCTCTGTCTCTCTCTCTCTCTCTCTCTCTCTCTCTCTCTCTCTCTCTCTCTCTCTCTCTCTCTCTCTCTCTCTCTCTCTCTCTCTCTCTCTCTCTCTCTCTCTCTCTCTCTCTCTCTCTCTCTCTCTCTCTCTCTCTCTCTCTCTCTCTCTCTCTCAGAGAATCTACCAGTTTTAGTCCCCCCCAAAAAGTAAACAAAATATCAGTGATACCAATAACAGTGATTATTTTGTCTACGACAGCATTATAAACTTCAGGGCGATAAACTGCGTGAAATGTGGCATCACTGTTACAAAGGGGAGACTGAGAGGAATGCATTAAAAAGAAGAGGGGAGAAGGGTGAGGGGAGAGAAGGTGAGGGGAAAATGGGAGATAATTCTGGACTAGATAGATGACCTTGTGAGAAGACTCATCTCTAGTATTGACCCATACTGGTTGAACTAGATGTTCATCGAGGGCTTCGACACATGAGAGATGTTCACCAAGAGCTTCGACACATGAGAGATGTTCACCAAGACCTTCAACACATGAGAGATGTTCACCAAGACCTTCAACACATGAGAGATGTTCACCAAGACCTTCAACACATGAGAGATGTTCACCAAGACCTTTGTTGTTGTTCAAGATTTGCTACCTAGAACAAAAAGTTCCAAGTAGCACGGGCTATGGTGAGCCCGTAGTATCCAGAGCATCTATAGAAACTGATGCTGCTCTGTGTTACCCGGCTCTGTGGTACAGCAGTCAGCATGGTCATCTCTAAAGTGGCAGAATTACCTTCAATTCCTTGAGTAGCCTTTTTAAGAAATATAAGAATATTCACTTTTGTTAAGAGTGGTAGATGGTTGGAACAAGTTAGGTGAGAAGGTGGTGGAGGCCAAGACCGTCAGTAGTTTCAAAGCGTTATACGACAATGAGTGCTTGGAAGACGGGACACCACGAGCGTAGCTCTCATCCTGTAACTACACTTTGGTAATCACACACACACACACACACACACACACACACACACACACACACACACACACACACACACACACACACACACACACACACACACACACACACACACACACGCGCGAAAATTGATAAATCAGTGGAAATGAATGACAATCATTTAACTCAATTAAAATATTGCATTCCATCAATTATACCATGTGACTGACGTCAACACATAGTTACCCCTCCTCCCCTATTATCCCAGACATTGCAAGTCGGCCGGTTATCATGTGATCTATATATATACATGTGTATGTAATGTTACCGTGGGAGGGGGGCTATCCTGGTGCAGGCACAGATGTCACGGCTGGTTATATGTGTCTGTGTGAGTATCTGTGTCACTGTGTTTATAGAGTAAGAGTAGAGGCAGACGCAAGGACACCAATAGTGGCAGTACATGTGATATCTCAGGATAACAGGTCGTTGCAGTGATGGTACTAATGCAATAGTTAAGGGAGTAATAGTATTTGTAATATAGGGAGAAGCACGTAGGAACATCAGTAGGAACCGTGAAGAGGATTCGAACCAATGTTCTGGGTACTATTCACTTGAATAGAAAAAATAGCAGCAGCAGGCACTTTGTTTTCTACCACAGATGTGGCCAGGCATTTACAATGCTAACCAGCTTATATACATTTTCTACTGTCCTCCATGGACAGGGTGAGAGATGTGTTAAACATATAGTTCAGGGATTCATTGAACAATCAACCACAGAAGGTGATTGTAGTTTAAGTAGTGGTGGTAATATTATTTGTGTAAGCAACAGGCATCAGTAGCTTAAATATCAGTAGCTTAAATATTAGCAGCATCAGTAATAACAGCATTGCAATGAAAGGAATCTTACTACGGGCTCACCATAGCCCGTGGTGCTTGGAACGTTTTGTTCCGAGTGGCGAATCTTCGACAACAAAAGGAATCAGTAGTGATATTAATAAAAGCAAACAGTAGCAGAAACAGAATCAACAGTTGTACTTTTAGCTGTGGTAGCAACAGTGATAATTGCAGTGATAGATGGAAAGGCCACAGAAACCAAGATAGTAACAGAATCAGCAATAATAATTGTATAAAAAAAAAGTGTTGTTGTTGGGCTTCAGACCAGTCAACCTCTGCAAGGTTATTATGACGACGGCGACACTGACCAATATACGCAAGTATACGACAGTATACGACACTATAAGCAAGTATACTTCAGCTCAGAATATTGTCCAAGACAGAAGAAAACTCTACATATATAGACCCAGAAGCCAGTTACACGCCTCGGGATGTATCGTATTGTTTCTAAGTGGACTTAACACCTATCAACCTATATACAGGTATGGGCAACGACATTACTGACCAACAGACCAAGTATACTTTCGTCCTGAATATAGCCCAGGACTAAACTATACTGTAAATATACTGAGAAATGACTGTTACTATCTGTAATACAGTAAATATTAGCGTCACAGCTGCTGTAGTAGAAGCAGATTGACTTGAGTGCAAGAAGGAAACATTAAAACTTGTAATACATAATAAAACTGTTGAATTAAAATATATATATCTCTTACCCGTGGATAGTAAAACCATCAATCCTCTCTGCTCTTCGTCCGTCATCTGTTCTCTTCCATTTACGTCTGTCTCCTCTATTCCCATTGCCCTCCTTTCAATCCCCCCCCCCATTCTTCTACCTCTTCTCTCTATCCTTCATTTTTGTCTCTCTTTTTGCATCTAATCTTTGTGCCTCTTTTCTACTTTCTCAATTTTTTTTGTCAGTTTATCTCCTCTCCGTTATTTGTTATTCTATCAAATCTTTATCCCTCCTCCTCTTACCGTTCTTACTCACTGTGCTTTCTCTTCTTTCTTCTTTCTTCCTCCTTATTCCTCTGTTTCTTTCTGAACACTTTCTCTCGAGTTTGCTATTTTCATTATTTTCTTATGTCATTATTCGCCCGTTGAATATTATCTTAGTTCAGAGGGGCCTAGTAGCTGAGTGGACATCGCTTCAGATTCGTAGTCCTGAGTTTCCGGGTTCGATACCCGGTGGAGGCGGAAACAAATAGGCAGGGTTTCTTTCACCCTGATGCCCTGTTCACCTAGCAATAAATAGGTACCTGGGAGTTAGACAGCTGCTACGGGCTGCTTCCTGGGGATGTGTAACAAAAAAAGTCTGGTCGAAGACTGGGCCGCGGGGACGCTAAGCCCCGAAATCATCTCAAGATGACCTCAAGATAGAAGTTTGAATCGACTTTGTGGCTTTTCACCATTTGTGACCAATTCTTTCAACCCTTTTGTACATTGGAATTCAACCCTGCTGCCGTCTTAATCCTGCTTCACCCTCTTCATTACTGCTTAAATCTACTTTTCTAGCTCTCTCACTACTTGGGGCAAACCGTTTCTGCCTTATCTATTATTTGAACACACCCCCTTCAGCCCTCTCACCACCGTCTTGTCTCTACATTAACTGCCCACTTTAAAAAAAAAAACATTTTATTTTAACCAAACCTTAGGTCCTTTTCTATTGGCACCCTTCTCAAATCACCCTTTCAAGACTGGTTATTTCACCCCGTTTTCTATATTAATTCTGTCATTTACTTCATTGTATTGCCAATTCATTGCCTATTGCCCCTTTCATCCTATATTTCACAGTTCTATGGTTTATACCTCCCCTCTCAGCTGTCATTACGTGTATCCGCCCCTTCACTTTCCCCTGGTCCTGATGCCTCGGCTACCGATCAACCGGAGGTTTGTGTCAGTCGCCCATCATGATTTTGGCCCAATTGAAACGTCAACTTTGTGTCAATAAATCGCAGCTGTCGGCAAGGCGCTATCTTCACTTCTTGACGGGGTCGGTGAAAAGTTCGGTCGGCGTACCGCAGGCGAGCGCTCGGAGCCAGGCGCCGCCGCCAATATCCACGCCCACACGCCCACGCCGAGGACAAGAGACAGCGAAAACCTGTGGTACGAAAACGAAGTTGGGAGGTCGGACAGGAACCACAGCGTATAATATCTATGTCCGAATATGTCATCCCTGTAGGTGGTCAAGAGGGAGTCGCTGCCAGGCCTTATAATTTAGGAGATATAACGGGCTTGCGCAGCCATGTACCGCTCGCTGTTGCTGACAGTGGCTCGTGTGTTCCCATTTTTCTTCCTAATTCTTTTTCTCTCTCCTCGACACGAGGGGATTTAATATCGGTGGATGGGGGCGGGCAGGCGGCCGTGGTGAATCGGGAATGAAGGGGAATCACCTCGTAGAGGGTCGCGGTCCACCCGGACAAAGATGGTGCATCAGCCTCTATATTTTAACTGGTTTTGCTTCCTGTCGACCCTCTCAATGGCTTCATCTGCTGGTAAATTATTCATTATACACGCCATTCGCACCCAATATCATTGCCAGGTGCTGCAATATTGGATACCGTTGACTGGCGTGTCACACAGCGAGCGAGTTACGTCCGCCAGTCTAAGCGGCACAAAATGTTTACTATAAAATAAAGACCTCGTCGTGTTTGCCTTGAGAGTGTTTAGTGGAGATGTGTAAGCAGAAACCGCATGTATTTGCTTTAGGGTCGGCGGCTCACATGCGTCCGGACGCTGCGGGTAATGGAATGAGCTCCCCCCGCGGTTCCGGCTCCCTGATAGGCTGCCGTCTGCGCAGGTGGGCGGGGCCTGGTGCCCACGGGCCAATGAGGCGGCGGGGGCGGGGGCTAGCCTCGCCCCGCCTCGCCACACCGCCATGCCAGCCAGAGTTACTGCCTGACATAATATTCGAGGTTGGTTGGTGGAAAGAACAAACATTTGTTGACGTTTCGCGTAAGCGATCTAATTTAAGAGGGTACAGGAGAAGAATAGAGGGAGAATTAGACAGCTGTCAGTGTGATAGACTACTGACGGCGAGGTGAGCGGTGTAATAGGCTAGTGCGGTGGTTGTGGCGGTGCGGTAGCGCAGCGCGGGAGTGTTGCGGTGCGGCGGCTGACAGCTACAAGCTCAGTGCTCCGGGAAACGCTACTCCTCCGAGGAATGTGAATCAGTGGCGATATCAACAGTGCTCGTGTGCAAGCAGTTATTGCGGGGGAGTGCGTAGTGAGGTGAGGAAGTGCCGCAGCGTAGCGGGGATGCGGCCAGCGGCGGCGGCGTCGGCGGCACAGCGACGGTGAGCGACATCTGAGCGGCCGCGCCACCCGCTAGGGAGGGCGAGGGTGGCCCGGCCCCGCATGTGTCCCGAGATGAGCGAAGATGCGGCGCGTGGGACCTGGCGACGCTCGCCGGAGGCTGCGGCGGCTCAACGGCCTGACAGTGCTACAGAGGGGGAAGAGGAAGGGGAGGCCGGACCCCCCGTCCGCCAGCAGCAGCAGCAGCACCCTGACCCCACCTTGCTCGCCGGCGACGACACCGACAGCGACATTAGTGTGGGGTGTCCGTCGCCCAAACCAAGTGAGGATAACTCCCCGACAGGCAGGTCGGGGCCTATTGCGGGTCACAGCGAAGACTTGGGGTCACCTACGCTCGCTCCTACGCCGGGCTCGGCGTCAACACCCACAAAGTACCAGGAAGATGGCGTCACATCTCCGGAGTCAGTCATGTCCCCCCCGCCGCCCCCTACCACCCCTGTCAGGGAGGGGGCAGAGGATGAATATTTCAAGCCTTTGAAAAAATTAAGAATGATTCAGTTGCAACAAGAAGAGGCGGCGGCGGCGGCCTTGGCGGCGCGAACAAACGCCGGTGTCAAGTCCTTTTCCATCATGGAGATCTTGAGTCACAAGCCTGTGGTTGTCAAGGCTCCTGACGCCGCAGGGGGTCGCATCGTCAGGCCCTGGGACACCGATGACGACGAGGAGGGGTCGCGGCCGCAGTCTGTCGACGACATGAGCGTTTCGTCGGCGTCGTCTTCAGGAGGGTCGCCGCGTCCTGCCTCCAGCGGACCTGGCTCTGGCAACTCCGGGCAAGCCAGAGCCCGGGGCAAGGATGGCAATCCACTCGACGCCCTTTTCCAGATGACCAGCAAGACTTTCGAGGGACTCAAATCCGGACAGCAACCCGGTGAGTACCTGTGCAACTACCTGTCTGTAAGTACACCTGAGCCATGGCTTGACTCATATATATTATCAAAACTGGTATGCGAGCTTGGCCCTTTGAGTATATATGTCCCAGAGTCTGACCCAGTGAGTACACCTGTACTAGAACCTAACACTTACACCTGTGCTAGGACCTGATCCAGTGAATACATCGTTCAGGGCCTATCCTGATAGGTACACCAGTTTCAGCCATCAGCCCAATGAGCTCACCTGTAATAGTTTTAACACCAGAGAACACTAGCGCTGAAGCGGATTAATGATTAAACAATTCCCATCCTTAAAGAATCTTACTGTGCTAAGTTTAATATTAATATCCGTTATATTAAGTCTATAACATATCGTGAACCATGAACTTCAGTTATGCCAATTGCTAGAACTAAATGTCTAATAAAACAAGAGAAAAAAGCCATCAAATTCTAAGGTAAAGCAGCCTGTACACGTCCCATCTTCTCACACACACTTACTAATTCACCCAGACACGGGAATGATAGTCTCACCCCGGCAAGATGCGTGGATAAGATCAATCTGCCAGCATTCATTATCATCTAAGTGCATTTATGATGCCCTAAAGTAATCTGTACCATGTGGAGGTCAGGGCCTCTGGTTTATGTGGCGCAGGGGCAGAACGTCTGGCCTCCAGGCTAAACTAGAAAATATAGATGTAGTTGGAGACTTGGTTAAACATTTTAAAATTTAGGTGCAGTTAAAAACTTACTTAAGCAATGTAAAATATAATGTAGTTGAAAATTTGCTTAAGGAATGTAAAATACAGATGTAGATGGAGACTTGTTTAAGCAATAGAAAATACAGATGTAGTTGGAGACTTGCTTAAGCAATGTAATAGGTGCACTTGGAATCTTACTTAATGCAACATATACATGCAATTTCAAAAATTGTTTAAGCAATTCAAAATTTAGCTGCAGTAAAAACTTACTTAAGCAATGCAAAATATAATGTAGTTGGAGATTTGTTCAAGCAATGTAAAATGACGGTGCAATTGGGATCTTGTTTAATGCAAAACATAGATGCAGCTGGAAACTTGATCAAGCAATTTTGCATGTGTATAATATATGAACGAGGTGGTTGGGTCTTGAAAGTATTGCGAGGACGATTGTACCTCTTTTAGACTCCAAGCTAAAATCTCCTTTACGATAAAGAACTTGTACATGTAACTTAAGTCGATTTGGCTAGAGAAAATGCTGGATAATTGGGAATGAAAAAGTGTAAGTGCTCAATATTTTGTCTTAGGCCTCCCCC